CAATCTGATTCCTATGCATACCATCAGGTGAAGTCCATGTGTATAACCTGCGTTTGTGTCTCTTATACAATGTGTTTGCAATGAATAAGTCATTGATTTTACAAACTTCAATCATTCTATCTCCAGCCTCATTCCTGTCACCAAGCCCATGTTTTCCGACTACTGATTCTTCTTCACTATTCCCAACTTTTGCATTCCAGTCTTAGAAAAGTATTTAACTCAAAAGCTCAAACTCATTTTTGTCAAGTCAGAACTGACTCTTAGCTGACCCCTGCAGCAAGTTTCCAAGGTTATATATTGCTTGGGAGGAGAGTGTCCCTCTTTCTGCCATGAAGTTACTCGTGGATTTGAACCACTAGAGAAACATACCTTCTTTGGGTTTGCAACCCTATGGACTCCCTTTGAGAAGCTAGACTCTTATGAAGAATATGTCATCAGGATCAAAGGAAGACTCATCAACATTATGCATTATGCTGATGCCATAACCTTGTTTGCTGGAAGTGAGGAGGATTTGATGTGCTTTCTGCAAAATATCAAAGACTACAGCCTTCTATATGATTTCTATCTTAACATAAAGAAAACAAAAATCTTCTCCACTAGACCCATAGTCTACATCATGATAGATAGAGATTGACATTGTCAACAGTGTTATCTTACTTGGATCCACAGTCAACATCCTAGGAACCAACAGAGATAAGAAGATGTATTACATTGGGAACGTCAGTTGTGGGGGACCTTTACAAATTACTGAGGTGCAATGATATCAGTTTGAAGACTAATGGCACCTAATTCAGGCCATGGTCATTTCATTAACTTGCTGTGTATTTGAGCGCTAGACAATGAATAAGAATGCTAGAACAAGAATTGATGCCTTTGAGCTGTGGTGTTGGTGAATAGCACTGATTACCCCATGAACTACTAAAAGAACAAACAAATATGTCTTGGAGAGGGTGCAACCAGAGTGCTCCTTGGAGACAGAGGATGAAGCTTCATGTTGTTAGGAAAGGCCATTCCTTGGAGAGGGGCATTATGCTTGCAAAGGTGGAGAGATGGTAAAAGAGGAAGATTGTCAAACAAGTGGATTGACACAGTGACTGCATTAATGGAATTCAGTGTGTCAGAAATTGTGAGGATGGTACAGGATAGGTCAGAGTTCAGATCTGTTCTTCCTATTGTCACAACAGTTCGTACTCAATTTGAACTCATTAACAACAACAGCAAGGACTCCCTTAGAAAGTCACCAGAACTCCATTAGTAACATTATGTATGTTACTTAGTCAGGTTTAAAGGCTGGATCTTAACTCTAGGCCAGTGACCCTAAAGAACTCTTTAATTTAGCTCCTGTTTACTGGCTATATTTATGATAAAATATGATACATTCTAGTTGAGTCACAGAAAGAGGTAGAAAGAGCTTTTACCTTAGATGACAAAAGTGGCAATGGCTTTTCCTAATGACACTGAGATTATATAAAAGGCCAGGCAAATGCCAATCTCTGACAAATAAGGTATTTTTTCAAATAGCCTAGTTTTCGTCCCTCTTTTCTATCTCTGTGTATCTATTATAAAAGGTAAAATGAAAAGCTTAGGTAGGTTTAAGGGAAATGAGGAATATATGATACTTTCTAGGAATTTTCAGCCTCATTTTGGGGAAACATCAACAGGATATAATTTTGGGGTATCTTCTTCCCCATCCACTTAGTAGCTCTATTGATTTGTTTCCATTTAACCCTAGTGAAAAACTCAGTGCTTATGTGGTTACAAAACACCTGGCCCGGAAAAGCCCTATAGTAAGTTGTAGTGCTACTTATCAAGAATTTGTAGTTCTCTCTAAGGACACACCTTGGAAGACTAGGTGTCTGACTTCCTTTTTTTTTCTAATAAGATAAAAAGTGACTAGAGTCACTTTCAGGCAAAAGCTTTAAGAGTTAGTACAAACTTTGCCATGTTTTCTTTGTTTTGTGCAGGCATGGCAGTGGAGCCTCCTACAGCCTCAGTTCCTAAGTGAGGACAGATATAGCCGACTCCTCTCCCAGTTGACCAGCTGATAGAAGTGAAGCAGGTTTATGCTATCAATATTGTGGAGGTTATTAGATTAACGTAAGATAACCTAAACTAACTGATAAAGGTCCTCACCCCAAAACAGTGACCTTTGATGGCAGCTAAAGGCATGTGAAAGAGTTAAAATATAGTATTCTTCTCCTTTCCTTTTCTTCCTTAAGGAAATTTATGCCTGTTGTGCACATTTTCTATAAGATGATACTCATCTCAGGGTGACCAGAAAGAAAAAATATTTTTCTTTGGCTTACAATCTTTTCTCAAGACACTTATATATACTTCTGTATACTAGGGTTTTGGTTTGGGTTGTTTTTTTTTTTGTTTTTTTTTTTTTTCATTTGCCAACCATAGAATTTTAAGTTTCATGAAATCAGTGACTGTCATAATTCATTTTTTTATTTTATTCTTTTATTAAATAAATTTTTATTGCATTCCTGGCTCTTCAGTGAGGGGGCTACTGTATGTGTATGTGTGTTTGTTTTTAGGGCTGCGGTTTTGGATTTTGGAATGGTTTGGAGGTTTTGTTTTGTTCTGGTTTCTGTTTTATTTGGCCAGTAGAGGCACTAGGAAGATGTTGTTCAGGGAGTGCTAGATATATTAGAGGAAGTGAAAAATCAAGAAGGGGCCAAACTGTAAAGCAGTGCTTTTCATTCTTCTGTTGTCTACATGCTTCAGTGGTTTTGTAAATGATCCTGTCTTCATTTTAAAAGAGTTCAGCTACATTTAAGACTTAAAATTTAAAAATTTTAAATTTGTAGGTACCATACCCAAGGTGATAAAGATAGATTTTAACATTTAAAACTACCATCATATTGCTATGTACTACTTAACCAAACCAGACTTCCTGCCACTGAATTAGTTCCAACCCATAGTGAACCTGCATGGGCTTTCTGAGGCCATACATCCTTAGAGGAAGAGACTGACCATCTTTCTTCTGTGGAGCAACTAGTAGAGTTGAACTGCCAGGTCATATATACTAGCCCCCAGGGCTCTTTTAGCACTGCTTGACTAGCTAATTTTTCTGCAGATCTTACAGTAAAGCTCTTCATCTCTTAATACTGCCTTCTTGCCCCTCCTTCAGTGCACTAAACACCTGTTCACCACAGAGCCATTGCACTCACTATCCTGTCTCTTTTCCATTATTTCATTCAACAAATCACAGAATGCCATTTCTATTAAAAGCTATCTAATAGACAAGAACTTATTTTTCTTATATAGCTGTGTTTTTAAAAATCTTCTAGTAGATTAAAAAGTTTCTTTACCATGTGTTCATTAACATTGCTGTCAAGTCAGAACCAACTCAAGCTGACCCTCCAGCAGGTTTTCAGAGGCTTTAAATCAAAAGAGGAGATTGCCCATTTTTCTCCCTCAGAGAAACTGGAGGATTCAAACTCCTTGCCTACTAAGTCACCATAGCTAGTACAAACACTAGTGAAGAATTAAAAAATGAGATGCTAACAAAAAACTTTAATTATCGTTATCATCATTAAAGGTGGAAAAATTCTCACATACTCAAATGGTTTCAAACAGCTATTATTTACAAAATTTAAAAGTTCTGTTTATGACTTTATTATAAAAATCTTTTAACAGAAGAGTAAGTCTACTCCCTTCTGATTTTCATTCCCACCGTCTTCTCTACCTTTTCGTTCTAGGGGTTCTTCAGCAAGCGCCTGAAAGGCTCCATCAAGAGGACCAAAAGCCAATCAAAACTTGACAGGAACACAAGCTTTCGTCTCCCTTCCCTTCGCAATACAGATGACAGGTAGGAAGTTAACTTAGTTAAAACAGAGGAGACTGTGTGAAAGTAAATTGTGAGAAGACATGGTTTGGTCTTCTCTAACTTTGCATTAATAATAATCAGAAAGAAACAACACAAAATTTACCTTTTGGGCTTGATCATTTTGAATCCAGGTATAAGACACAGGCTTCAATACTCAATCAGTTAGAGAATCTTAGAATGTATAATTTCTACATCAGTGTGCTACTGTAGGCTCAAGTTCTAATGGTTAGTGGTGTATCTTTTTTTCTTTAGAGTGACTGTAAAATGATGGAAATAATAGTAATAACACTTTCAAACTTATGCTAGAAATTTTATACACATCATATTTAATTTTTAGTAACTCTGTAAGTATTGTTATTACCTCCATTTTGTGTTGATATTTTTATAACTTGTTTAATTGTGATTTTAACAAAAGTTTATAGAAAAGTTGGATTTTTTTTTT